CCGGGTCTGCGGGAGACGGTCCCCAGCAGACCAGAGGCACCGGGAGCAAAGCTGCAGCAGCGGCGGAGTCCCGCGCCTCCCCGGCTTTGCTCCAGGTGTCCCTGGTCTGCTGGAGACGGTCCCCAGCAGACCAGGGGCACCCGGAGCAGCTTTTCTCGCCCCGGAGGTCGAGGTGGCGGGACCGCTGCACTCTGGGCTGTCCCGCTGCCTGCGAGCTCCAGGGAGAGAGAGCCCCATTCGTAAGTGTGGATCTGACATAAGTCGGATCCGCGTAACTCGGGGACTGCCTGTATTTGAATATAGTCTCACTGTATAGGGTTTATTAAGATTTTCTGTTTCTTTTAAGGATACCCCAGGATTTGTTGTAAATCGTCTCTTGGTGCCATACCTGATTGAAGCAGTTCGGCTTTATGAGCGAGGTACCTATCAGTAGTATTTATTTTGTGAAATGTTGACAGTAATATCTAGCAGTGCAATCTCTTCAGATAATTATTAGAATTGTTATAAATCTTGATCGTTTAGGTATCAGTCTAGTGATAAAAGAAGTTGTGATTTGAGTTTTGAGGTGCTAAATAATCTCTGTGTGCTGAATCAGAATTTATAACTTGCTTATATGAATTCAGGCCTGGCCAAAGAGTGTGCGGGACCCTACGTTTCATGCTATGGTTGGCTCTCCTGGGCAGGCAGGCACCAGGCAACACGAGGCCCTGAAGGTGCAGGGCCCAAGGCAACTGCCTTGCTTACCTTGCCCTAAAGCCCGGCCTGAATGAATTCTCTGATGGCTGTTGGCTTGGGTTAAAATGGGTGAAGTTTTTGAAAGTGTTTTATGAGCCTAAGAGCATATTGACACACGAAAATTAATCTGGGTTAAGGTAGGGTATACATTTAAACTGAATTAACTATTCTGGATTAACTGCACATGTGGAAGTTCTGGTTTCTGGAATAAATTTAAAAAATTGAATTAATGGAGATTGCCTGTCTCTTAGAACTAGAAGGGACCTTGAAAGGACATTGAGTTGAGTCCCCTGCCTTCACAGTAGGACCAAGCACCATCCCTGACAAATTTTTGCACCAAATCCCTAAATGGTCTCTGCAAGGATTGAACTCACAACCATGGGTTTAGCAGGTCAATGCTCAAACCACTAAGCTATTCCCTCCTCAATTCTCACCTGAAGCTAATAACTATTCTGAGAGAACTCCTCTTCTAGTAAAACCCATTTTCAGACATCTTGGACACATAAGTGCCTCAGGTTTTCCGTTATTGAAAGTTATATCTGCCTAGCTACAGTGGTTAAGGATATGAAAAAAAACAAACCCCTGACTGACATAACTATGCTGACAAAATTCTCAGTGTAGGTACCTGTTGTTCCCATACCAACAGAAAAATTCCTGTTGGTATAGGCTGCGTCTTTGTTAGGGTATTATGCTGACTGACTTAGGTTTGGCAGTGTGGACAGAACCTCAGTACCATTGTCTCACATTAACTAGCCTTTGTTGCTTTGGAAGCTCCTGTTTTTGTGCTAGTCTCTTTTGCATTAGTATTGGGAAGGGAAGGAATCCTGAATCTTTTAACTACTCTCAGGTAATCTTAAAAACCTAAATTTTTTTTTTTTAAAGAAAATAAGCTATAATGTAAGTGGATAAAGTGCAAGTTACAGAGACCATGTGTTACACTAGAAAATGAAGTTGATCTAACTTATGCTGGTGTACAGCCACTACAGTAATTATATTGTTTGTGTGTGTCTACACCAGGGGTGGGAAACCTAAGGCCCAAGGGCCAGAAGCGACCTCCGGCTTCTTGGATCCAGCCTTCCACCCAGCATTGGGGAGCCTGCACTGGTGCGCCAATGGGGCCGGAACACACAAATCTACTAGCCTGGGCCCCCCTAGGCTCTGGGATGTGAGGAGAAGGTGGGGAGTGTCTTTCTTCTCTGTTGGGGGCCACATCAATGAGGGTTTGTTTTTTGCTTCTCACTTGTGTGTGGCCCCTGACAGATTTTTCTTTTGGTCAATGGCCCCTGACCCGAAAAAGGTTCCCCAGCCCCGGTCTACACTTTGTTCCTTATATCAGCAGCGCACATGCTCACCAGGAGCACTTGTATCAATTGCACTGTTGGTATGGGGCATGGTGGGATGGTTCCTGAAGGCCAGTAACAGTTGACATAAACAATGCAGGGTCTACACTGACACTGTGTTGACCTAAGTACATCGACCATGCCACACATGGATGCAGAATTGAGTCAGTGTAGTGGGGCAGTTACATTGGCAAGAGCAAAATCTAGTATAGACGCTTCCATAGCTTGATATAAGCTGCCTTGCGTTTGATCTAATCTCTATGGCATAGACCAGAGCTTTCTGTAAGTGGTCTTTTTTCAGGCATTCAGTTCATCACTGCATGCTATTAAGGATGTCTTTCCAAAGTTTTGTTTTTGAAAACATTTTCTTACAGATGAAAGCACTCCATTACCAGGATTCCAGCAAATATGTTTTAAATATTAAAAGTTCTCCTGCATAACTTATGGAAGTGGTTTGATCTCCAGGGGAAAATTAAACTTGTGCTACTTGCTTATCCATCAACAAATGCACTTAATTACATCGTGGAAAGGAGAATAGAGTGAATTACAGTGACTTGAAAGGCAAAGGAGTCGGGTGGAGAGGGACCATTTTTCCTTTAGTAAAATATCACAATTTGGAATATATTATGTTGGGTGTTCTAATGTGTTAAGGAGATGCCATTGCTGAATGATGGATGTCATTTTATGCAGATAGGGAGACGACATATTTTTATATATAGCAAAAATTGGACAAAGATTTTATAATAAAATCAACTCCCCTTGGCGGATGTCATTTTATGCAGATAGGGAGACAACATATTTTTATATATAGCAAAAATTGAACAAAGATTTTATAATAAAATCAACTAAACAAAAGCATCATTTTGATTTCAGCTTTGTTTTGTTTGATCAAAAAATAGAAGGATTTCATACTTGTTTAAAATTTACTAATGAACTTTAAATCATTGGTTGGTTGAAATTGCATTAAAGCCTGAAGATCTGAAGGTCACATTCTAATTCAAATACTCTGTTGGAGCATGTTAAATTTGTATCTCATCCATCCCTCTTATGTCGATCGTCATTGTAGTGAATTAAGTCTAGTTAGAAAAAGAGCATGGCTTCCAACTGCCCTTGGCAGAGAATTTAGGTTATTTCTTGACAATAATAATCATTGAAATTTTGATTTTATAGGATCAGTAATAGAAGTCCTTAGACACTGCCAAAGTGCCCATTGATTCAAATAGGTATTGTACCTGATAAAAAATTTCAGGATATCAGATGTTGATTAGGCTTATTCCTCTAAAGAAACTGTAGGTACTTATTTAAATTGATGCATTATTATTAAGATTATTATAGGAAACTTCTTATTGTACTCTTTTTACTGAAAAAACAAAAAAACCCAGGAAATTAGTTTCGCTTGCATGGAATTCTCTAGTCGGGTAGCTCTGACTACACATTTCATGCGCAGCTTTTTGGGTACAGGTTGAAACACTCTTAACTGGGATTCTCTGGTCCAGCAACATTCTTGGTCCGGCAGGACTGTAGGTGTTCCAGGACCGGAGAGTCCCAGCGAAGAGCTAGCACTGAGAGCCCTGCAGGCTGGTAGGGCAGCAGGAACCCAACATGCGCCAGCAGGCTGCCTAGCAGGGCAATGGAAGTCCCACCCGCAATAGTGGGGCTGGCCAGTAGGGCTGCGAGAGCCCAGCGCACAGAGGCTGAGGTGCAGCGCAACAGAAGGAGCCGGGTGCTGCACTGAGTTCCCAGCATGGCAGCAAGAACCCGATGTGCACAGAGATGGCAGGGATGCTGGGCTCGGCAGCGAGAGCCTGGTTAGCGGAGGTGGCGGGGCTGCCTGATAAGGCAGTGGGAGCTGTCAGGGCAGCAGCAGCCAGGAAGAGAAGGGAGCTGGCTGAGAGGCCAGTAGTCTGGCCAGGGCTGGAAGAGGCTGGTGGCAGTGGACCCAGAAATGACCTCACCTGGCCTAGCAAAATCCCTCATCTGGAACTGGTCAGATCCCGAGAGTGCTGGGAGGTCCAACCTGTACTGTTGTTCTTCTAATATATTCTGTCTTTGTTTCCTGGGGACATAACTGCAATTAGTTAATGTCTGTATGTGGTCAAGCATCTAAAGATGTCTTCTATAGCAAAGAGAGAGAACCAAATCTGTTGCTATTGTGAATTGGTACAGTTCCATCAACTTCAGCTGAGTTGCATCCTTTCAGCTGTGATGCGTTAGGCCCAGTAGTTTAAATCATGTTGAAATTAAGCAGTATAAAAAATGGGTTCCCATCAGTGAAATGTGCAGGCTAGTTTTTACCATTTTTCAAAAGCAAAAGGCAGGTCCCAAACATTTCAACATAAATCTTAAAAAAAAGAGTACAAAAGAACTTTTCAACCGCAGAAAGGGAAAAGAGAACCTTAAAAACAGCTGCTTCAGAAGCAGATTGGAAGTTGAAGAGCTCATGCTTAAATAAAAGGCTTCAGAGGAGTAGCCAAATTAGTCTGTAAGGGTGTGTCTATACTACAGGGTTTTTTTGAATCCTACAAGCTGCTGAGCACTCTCAATTCTGATTGACCTTAGTGGGAGCTGAGGGCACTTGACACTTCACAGAATTGGGCCCTTTGAGGCTTAATATTGAGGGTGCATCTACACTGCAGTGTTATTTTGGAATAACTAGCATTATTTCAAAATAACAATGTGAGCATCTACACAGCAATTCCGTTATTTCAAAATAATATTGAAATGACAGGCAGCTTCTCCCGACGTCTGTAAACCTCATTCCACGAGGAGTAACTCCTCTTCCTAAATAGCTATCTCAAAATAGCTTGCAGTGTGGACACTCCACTGCTGCTATTTTGAATTAGCTCCTCACTAGGGCCATTCTAAGTAATTTCTCCTCTGTGCTTCCTGGGGCTCTAAATCAAGATAATGTATCCACATTAAGAGAGCCTGCCTTAAACTAATTTTAAGGTTTCCCTGTAGTGTGAACATGCTATTTCAAAATAAGCTATTTCAAAATAACTATTCCGGAATAGCTTATTTTGAAATAAGTGTGCCATGTAGACATACCCTCACTCATTTGGGGTTTGAGCCAAAGTTCCTGGAAGTCAGTCAAAAAATTCCCTTTGACTCCAAAAAGCTTTGTGTAAGCTACCCAGACTGACATCTTTCTCTGTATCTTATCTCTATGTGGATGGGTTCTATTCTGGGGGGAGGGTTCATTTATTTTTTTTAAACCATGTGAAATTATTTTTCAGATTCACATTATGTAAATGTCTAGAGAATCTGTGTTTTGAAATTTATTAATGACATGTCTGTATATTTTTAGAAAGTCTGAAACACATCGGCTAAAAGCAAGATTATGAAAACTTAAAAATAATCAAGTGCAACTTTTGTTTTCAAGGTTTCAAACAACTTTAACAATAGTTAAAATAGCTCTTCTTTTCTTGCTAGTGTTCTCTGGGTGAAGGGGTCTTTTGTATCATGATCCTCAGTATAAAAGTGTCTACTGAAATAGGGCAATATAATTAGGATGCAGGAAAATAGGAATTAAACTCACAAACTTAGTATGGGAGAGGCCCAGACTTGACTCTTCTTTCTAATATTTCCTGCCTGGCCCATGTTATAGGCTTATTGGTTTCTGGGTTTTTCTCACTACTTTGCTCTGTGTCTCTCTATTTAGCCTTAATCTGTCCTTGAAAGTATGCCATTTAGGATGATAGCACTGTTCTGTATACTGCTTAATATTTACAGTTTTATATTTCTGCTGATAACCAGACCAAACACAACACTTGATTCTGTAATATATATACTGTGTGCTATCCCAGTTTTAGTGAACCTGCAAATATTACTGTAATGAGCTGTGTCAGCATGAACTAACAGTGTTAATTATTTAAAAACTATGGCAAATGGATTCCGAATCTTCTTTGTTCATCAAACTGTCAATATTTTCTCTAGGAGATGCATCAAAGGAAGATATTGATGTTGCTATGAAGCTGGGGGCTGGCTATCCCATGGGTCCGTTTGAACTGCTGGACTATGTTGGGTTGGATACCAGTAAATATATTATAGATGGTACTGTATATATCTTTTCTTTCTTTCTTTCTTAGCTAAATTGTAATTTGATGTGTCAAATGTTAAATCTGACACTTCAGTTTAAATTGAGTGTGACTTTGCCAGTTAAAGGTTGGGGGAATAGTGATTGATGAATGATCAATAACAACACACCATCATTTTCAAAGGTGTGTGTGTGTGTGTGTGTGTGTGTGTGTGTGTGACATGGGGAAGGTTCATGCCAAGTGATTATGGTTGTTCTGAGGGTCCCTTTGGGTGTGTTTGTACTAGAAAAATTAATACCTTTGTTTCAGCAACTATTATCAATGGTACAGCAGCACTAGTGTTCAGCTTCTAATATAGCAATGGCTCAGGTTTTGAGCAGTTTAACATAGACTACTGCTGGAACATAGGTGCTTTTCTAACCAAGACCAGGCCATAATGTGGTGTTGGCTGAGAGAACCATGAAGTGAAGCTTAGCTACTGAACTCTTCCTTTTCAATAATGTGCAGAGAGATATTGTGCTCCAAAAGATACCCATAAAGTCACTCTGCAAAATTCCTCCTAAACTTCTTGGTCTTTAATTTATAAAACTGACTTAAAATTTCCAGTGAGAATGGTGCATGTGTATATATATGAAGCAGAATAAGAAACCCTTTAGCCTAAGCAGTGTTTTGTTTTGATTGGAAGAGCTTTACTAAATGATTTATAATAGTTATTTTGGAGACAGATTTAAAATCAATGTGGTCACTGCAACTTGAGTCGTACAATTAGGAAAATGGATTGTACACTATAAAAATAAGTTGGCTGCTTTTGAGTGCCAGATTGACTGGAAAGTATGTCAGTTCATAAAGCAGCATAAGGGAAAGCTATAACAATTCAGCAGAGATATGTGATAAGGATGCACAAATTCTAAATGCAGGCTGTTGTTAACAAGGTAATTATGAGAGTTATCTTGGAGGGTTGCCATAGAGTTAAGTGAGTTAACTCAGCTGGGGTAAGGGGAAGTCTGTCTTGTAGAAGGGTATAAAGTATGCATAGAAAAGTAACTGGGAAACAATAGGAAGAGAGGTTAGAGTCTTCAGTTTACAGACACCTTTCTTGATACTATGAGGAAAAAAGTGATCCTCTTAAACTAGTCTTGTTAGTCAAGGTGACCTCCTTTGGTGAGTTGGTAGTGTAAGTCTTCAGACTATGGAAAGTAAAGGCTTAAACAAGAAGCATAAATATGTACATACCACTTTTAATAAATTTCTCCTATAAATATTATATGGTCTTCTGTAACAAATATGTGTGATAGTTTCCAGTCACATGTTTATTGTTACTCAGACTCTATGTCTAGTGTTACAGTGTTTATTGCTGAACACTATACTGAAGTGCTAATATCCTCAGAGCCCTTTTCAAACAAGAGCTGAATCCTCAAAACATCTCTGTGAAGTATAGAGAAATAGAAGCATACCCATTTTACTGATGGGGAAACAGAGACTGGTCATTTTTCTGATTTAGATTTTATTTTCAGTAGAGAAGAGTCAGTACATGTTAATAATCCCAATGAAACCATAGACGTTAATGAAAAATGGGGAGAAAGCGGAGAAGAGAGATGAAGTGGAAGTAACATTTAGAAAAATATTTCCTCCAGTCCATTTTCCAACTGGTTTACAAACCATATTTGTATACAGTGCTAAGAGGAAAATCGTGTACATTTTAAAAAAGATGATGTCTTATCATGTGCAAATGAACAACAAAAAATGAAATTCTAAAGCTCTTGGTTTCTTAGTAGCTAGAAAACGTCAGACCCCAAAGAAGATTGTCTTGCAGAAACACCTCCTAGTTGGGGTGGATGTTTGAGCTGGTTAGGGCCAAATGGGAGCTGAAAAACTCAACAAATTTAAAATCAAACTACAGTAAACTTCGATAATCTGGCACCTTTGGGACCCAGGGGGTGCCGGATTATCAGATATGCCGGACTATCGGAAGGGGGGGCTATGAGGGATCTGGGGTGCGGGGGGGAGGCCTCCTCAGCCTCTTTGATAAATGGTTGGATGCTGGTTTAATGGCTGGCTCTGCCTTCTTGATCAGAAGTAGGAGAACAAGGAGCAATTGATGACAAATTGACTGTAATTGTTTAAACAGTTCAGATGTATTCTGCTGGTGTCTAAAAAGGTCTGCTTCAAACAGAATTTCACTTCCAGGAAACGCTCTTCAGTAAGTCACTTGCCTTTCTTTTCATGAGTACTTCTGAGCAGTGTTGCACGTTTTCTGATGTTGCACAAATTAAAATCCTCCTTTCACCCATGCTCTTCTAGTCCTTCCCTCTTGTCTCGGAGTCTCTCTTCTGTTTTATATAATATATAAAAATCTCAGTTGCTTGGACCATGGGGATAATAATGCCTTTCAATAATATGTAGAAGATAACTAGGGTGTAATGCATTAAGGTACTTATGGCTCTAAATCCTGTTAATAGGCGCACTGTAATGCACAAAACTTCCAATCAGTTGCTACCTCACTCTGTAGGTTCCTAAGGTCACTCAGCGCTTAAACTTCTGCACCTGGATATGAACACTCCGGATTCTGTAGGGTCCCAATCTCCCACCTAAGTCCCAGAACAGTACATGTATTGGGAAGATAGATGTTTGGCCCTCTAAGTCACATGTAGGGGATAATGTTGTTTCATACATCAGGCCCCTCAGAAGAGTTCACACACAGCAGCTGAGCAGAGGGAGGAAGAGGATGACCTCTTGCTTTTCTAAGGGTATTGGTTAGGGAAATCACCCAGGATCTGGGAGGCCTGTAGTTCAAGACCTGCCCTGATCAAGTAAAGGGATTTTAACAGGGATCTGCCATCTCAGACGAGTGTCCTAGTCACTAGGCTCGAAAGCAGGAGTGGGCAAATCTTGGCCTGCTCCCATTGGCTGGGAACGGCAATCTGTGCCAACAGGAGCTGTGATTGCTCACACCTTTGGAGGCGCAGGTAAATACGGAGGAGGTCTACCAGAGGATAATGCTGGTGAACTGCCATCGTTTTATTGACTCTAGAGCAGGAGTAGGCATTCTTACTCTCTCTGATCCAACACACATTTAATAGGGCTGTCAAAAATTAAGTGAGTGATTATAAAATTAAGTGCTAAGTTAATTGCAATGTTAAACAATAAGAGCATACCGTTTACTTAAATATTTTCTACAGTTTTCTTAGTAGGGATGTTAGCGTGTAATTGAATAGCCATGTAACCGCATCAAATGTTAGCAGTTACATGACTATTCAAAGTTCCCAAGTGCGGGGCCACTCTGACCCCACTCCCAGGGAGCCCCCTGTCACCTCATGCTGCTGTGTCTCCATCAGAGGCAGCAGCATGGGGTGATATGCAGGAGCCAGTCTGCGAGGGAGCTGGTTTAAAAACTGGCTTCCCATGCAGACTGTCTCCTGTCTGCTGCCCTGATGCAGAGGCAGCAGCACAGGGTGGCAGCAACCTCTGTCTGCAGGGAGCTCAGACCCCCTCCATGGACAGGGGCTGTTGGTGCGGAGTAGTCTCTGTCCTGGTAAGCCCAAGCCCACTGCGGACAGAGGCTGCTTTGTGGCAGCCTCCCCTGTGACCCTCCCCACACTGCTGCCTCACCATATTGGGGGGAGGCAGGTGGCACTGCGTATCCGTTCTTGCCTGCCCCCCTCACCCTCCACCCTCAATGAGAGGTAGCAGCGTAGAGGTAGGAGAATAGGTAAGCCGGGCACTGTCTCTCACTTCCTCCCCCTTGCTGCCTCTGATACAGAGGCAGCAAGGGAGGGGAATGTGTATAGTCCACAGGATTAACCAATAAGCCCAGGTTTACCAGCGAATGGTGTAGTCATTGGAACGTTAACATCCCTATTCCTTAGTGATTAGCTGAACAAGAAATAGAACTAAGGGGACTTGTAGGCTCTGGGTTTTTACATTTTTTTGTTTGAGTGCAATTATGTACCAATAATGGTCTACATTTGTAAATTGCACCAGAGCAAAGAGATTGCAATATAGAAATTGTATAAAATAGGGATGTCAACATGTAGACAACTGGGCTTATCAGTTAATCTTGTCAACTATATGTACTTCCTCCCTTGCAAAGTAGGGGGGAGGGAGCAGTAGCATTGCCCATGATAAACTAGCTTAAAAGTTGGCTCTTCACAAGCACTGGATCTACCTTCCCCCTCTCTCCCCATGTTGCTGTCTCTGATAAAAAGGCAGGAGCACACAGGGTGAGGGGGGCAGGCAGGAGCCGATATGCAAGGGGAGCCAGCTTTCAAGCAGGCTCCCCGTGTGTGCTCGCTCCACAGTGCTACCTGCCCCCCTCCTGCACCTCTGTCTCTATCAGAGGCAGCGTGGGAGGGTAGCATAGCATCTCCCAGGGCAGCTTCTGTCTGCAGTGAACCTGTATCAGAGGCAGCAGTGCAGAGCACCAGGCGGGAGCCAATTCACGTGGGAAGCCGGTTTTTAAACTGGCTCCCCTCATGGACCAGTTCCCACTTGCTACCCCATGCATAATGTGGAGTGGCATGAGGCTTCCCAGGAGCGGGATTGGAGTGCACTGGCTGCTGGTCCCACCCCCAGGAACTATCGAATAGTATGTAACTGCTAAAATGTCCTGCAGTTACACAACTATTCAATTACACGCTAACATCCCTAGTACAAGATTAATTGAAAAATACTTTATTGTTTTTACTGTGCAAATATTTGTAATAAAAATACATTTGTATTTCAGTTACAACACAGGATAAAATACAAATGAAGTGTAGAAAAACATCCAAAATATTTAAATTTCAGTTGGTATCGTTTAACAGTTCTATTAATTGTTTAATTTTTTATATCATGATTACTTTTGAGTTAATTGTGTGAGTTAACTGTGATTAACTGACAGCTCTAATATTTAATTAAAGTGAAAGAACTTGCATTGAAGATGAGAGATGAAACCCACATGAGAATATTTCATGGAGGAGTACTGAAGTGTCCTGACATCTAGCAGACTGCCATTTTTGTAAATAATAAATATCACCTTTAACTGAAACTTCCTTTCTCCTACCAGGTTGGCATTCGTTAGAGCCAAACAATCCTCTGTTTGCTCCTAGCCCCCTACTGGATAAATTGGTAGCAGAGAAGAAGATGGGTAAGAAGACTGGTGAAGGATTTTACAAATACAAATAAACTCCAGGCTATGAGGGCTGCCAAGCTATCCAAATAAGCCTGCGCCATGCAGCAGTTGTTCTACTACACTAGGAATGCTGCTTGACCAAGCCTTTCTTAGAATGTCACAGGCTGTTCTGTGCATTTTGATTGTAATCTGTCTCTCAAGTGAATGTTTACACCACTTAACAATTTCTGTGCTGAGGGCCGATTTGGTAGATTAATTTTTCTTGTAATTCTGAAATCTTTACACACATTGTGCCTTTGTGCAGATACTGTTCTTCCAGGCACAAGACATTTTCTTGCAGACAAAAGTGAGAACTGAATTCATGTATTTGAACAAATTATATTAACAGGATAACTTGCGCACATTTTAGGGAAAATAAAATTGTCTGTATTGAATCCACTGGCTTTGAATTGATGTACTTGGTTCTAATCCACTGGGTGGCAGTCTGTTTGCATCCTGGCAAATGTAGAGGTAGAAATGATTTGTCTGGTTTTGTTTTGACTTTTTTAAAATTATGCTAATCTATAGATCATAGTTATAGCTGGATTATGATGTAATAATACCTTAAACAGATTTATATTTATAGGCTCTGTTTTAAAAATTACTCTTGAAACCATTTATATTGTCATTTATGGCTGACTCTTCAGGAAAAAAAGCTGCTTAAAACTGTGTTTTAAAGCAGTAATTATTTCTATTGGGGTAGTACTTAAGGGCTCAAATCATAGATCAAAGCCCCATTGTGCTAGCTGCTGTACAAATATATAACAGAGATGGCCCTGTGCTGAAGAATGTAAAGTCTTAAGCACATGGATTTATTTTAACCAGCTAGAATAGAAAACTGGTAAACATTTTTCTAGATTTATGGGAGTTCTATAAGCTAGCTTTTTTTGCTGGAACTTTTTCAAAGACTTCCTTTCTTTTTGCAGCTTCACTCTGCTTGTACCAGGCTGCTGTAATTGGGTTCTTTAAGATCAAGTTCCATCTATGTAAATGTATAGGCAGTGCACTCTCTGTAATGAGTCCTTGTTTTGGACTTTTCTTTTCCCCTGGGTTTGACTGAGTCCGCAAAACATTTTTGAGGTTGAAACTCCCTCATCCGGGCTTCCCTTGTCTGGCAACATCCCTGGTCCGGCATCATCCATGCTGTCACTCATGGAGATAAGCTATTAGGCAGAGGGCCAGAAGCGTTGCCAAATGAGAGGGCTGACGGAGCACTGTGGGGCAGCTGAATCACTGGGAAGAATGCAGAGCTCTCTGTCTCTGGGGAGAGGGACAGGAGCAGAGCAGAGTTCTGAGTTCTCTGTCACCGCCGGGAGGGCAGCAGCACAGCTGCTGCAGGGGAGCACAGAGCCTCCCCTGGCCATAGTGTAGGTGCTGAGGAGGAGAGCACAGAGCCTCCGGAAGGAGCATGAAGCCCCATGAGTGGTAGCAGAGCCATTCAGTGGGGCATGGCGCTCCCTCGGTGGCAGTGGGGTTGCTTGATGGAGCCTGCCAGGGAGCAGCAAAGCTGCACAGTGCAGCGCAAAGCCCCAGCAGGGTGCTGGGGGGAGCACAGAGACTCCGGGCAGAGTGAAGCTCCAGATTCCAGTGGAGTTCCTGGCCACTGCGGGAGGAGGGGAGCCCCGGGCTACAGCTCCTGCTGCATTGATCTCTCCTGGTCCGGCAAATTCCCTAGTTCGGGACCACTCTGGTCCCAAGGGTGCCAGACGAGGGAGTTACAACTTGTATTTCATGTGTATTGCAAAGCCTAAAATTAGCTCCTTAAATCCCTGTCAAGACAGAGAAATGTGGAGGAACTCAGACTATCAAAAGCTGCACTTCTGGGGAAAAAGATGTGGTATGTTAAACTTAACTTTAGACATCCAGTTTGTGAACATGGACCAGTAAGGTTTTAGACTTATTGTTCTCAGGCATGTCTAGAACGTGTTGGAAGTAACATTATGTGTTCAAGAGATTGTGATGAAACAAAATCTGAAGTGATAACTGCTACAAAAAGCCATTCTGTTACAGTTCAAATGTCTCTTCTGAAAAGTAAATCAGTTTAAGATTTGGATTACATCATGAGGCTCATAAGTCTAAAGTAAAGCTTCCTTTTAAAGGCAAAATGGGATTCAAATCAAGCATTTCAAAACTAGACACTTGAAATGCAAATTGTAAATGGAAATTGAACGGCTCTCCTTATTTTGTGGAACTCGTATCATTTTCTGTCGGGAACTTGTTTAAAGATACCTTTAGGAAATTATCTTAAAACAATAACTAATGAAATTAAGAGGAAACCCCTGTTTGTACCTCTCCTTTCATCACGTAAGATGACCCAAGGATTTAGCTCCTTTCGCTCACATGGATGAAAAGAGAATGTGGAACTCTGGCCCTGCTAGTCACTTAAGCTCTTCCTAATAAAGGAAAGGAAAGCAAATTGTTAAAAACTGGGAATAGGGAAGAATAAAACCATTTGTTGTTTCTAACTCTACTTGCTTTTAAGTGTTTGATCTGCCTTGTGCTTTTTCTCAGCAGAAGCATTCACTCCATGTCCACCAAAGCTTTGAGATGTACACTTGGCATGCATTTTGGGGACAGCTTGAAAGCAAACAGCTGAGGAGAAGGGCATAAGCCTAGAGACTGCAGTTGGAAAAGTGGCTCAGGACTTAGCATCTGGGACATTTGACTGCTATACATGCTTCAGCCATGTCATCCTAGCTACTGACTCTGTCAGGGAGAGCACAGAAATAGAGCCTACTTCAGAAATGCAGTATTAACCTGATTCTTAATGGAACTGTCTTAGTTAGAATGCTTTTGACTTTTGGCTTCATACTTAATGTTGCCCAGTAGACAAACACAAGCATGTCTTGGTTGTAAATGTTTGTACTCATAGGTGTCAGTCTGATTCTCCAGCATATCACTATGCATGACAGGGTACACTACTTTTTGCAGGATGGCATCTCTTCCTAGCAAGTCTGGGGATTAGCTCTGCGGCTCTCTCAGCCCTTGAGCCAGGTCTCTGTGTGATTTCCCTTTCAAAGTCCCCAGTAATCTCAGGCAGTGCTTCTCTTCACTTCCCCAGGTGCTAATCCCTCAGTGGCTGATAGGGGATCCCTAACCTGTCATTTACTGATTCTGACTTGAGGACCCTCTAAACCAATAGTCCCCAACCTTTCGGGGCTGCCAGGCGCCCGGGGGCGGGTCTGCTCACACGCCAGGCATTCAAGGCCGCTCACGTGCCCGGGGCTGGCATCACGCATGTGCAGTGTGCCCGGGGCCAGCACCACGCATGCGCCGCACACCAAGGGTGGGGCTGGCCCAGATCATTGGGTGGGTGCACATAAATAGCCCAGCAGGCGCCATGGCGCCCGCGAGCACCACATTGGGGACCACTGCTCTAAACAGTAAAAAGGTGTGGGTCCCAACTATGCTTCTCATTAGGAGAAGTTCACCTGTGTGGGAACAGGCAGGATAAATCTTCAGTCCCCCCGGGAAGAGGAAAGAGGAGGTGTATAGTGACATTTAGTACTAAATGTCACTATATTCCCTCAGAGGGGGGGCAGCGAGAAGCTTGCAAACTCAGAGGAGAGGGGAGGACCAAGAAGCACAGTTGGGACCCACACCTTGGTTACTGTTTAGAGGGTCCTCAAGTCAGAATCAATAGATTCACTCAGGCTTAATTCTCCCAGATTGCAGCCTAATTGAATGATTACGGCCACTTGACACAGTTGAGCTGTTGCAGGGTCAGTGTGGAGCATACATGCCATCATATTGTGGTGGATTTTTTTCCTCCTTTCACAGAAAGGGTAGCAGCTACAAGTGTTTAATTGTAGGGTGGGCCTATGTAAGTTTTTAAATGGTGTGGATGACATTTGAAAGCTGATTGTCTTGTGCAATGCCTCTTTTCCATTGTTAATCACAGTACATCCCCCTGACAGTTGCAGCAGTGGTATAGTTGAAAAAATCCAACATTGCTAAAACAAAATTAGCTGTTTTTAGATGCACATTTGGCAGCTAGAAATGAGAATTCACCACCATTGGACCTACCTGCTCTCAACTGACCAGTTTCAGAATCTTTGTTGTATTTTGTGTGCCAGGAGGAAAGATGGATTGTGCAGGCAAATGAAGCTCCGTGAAAGGTAACCTTTTTATCCCTTTCCCTTTTCTCATGTCCCACACAGTGATTGACACCATGGTTTTGGAGCTAAAATGAAAATGTCATTTTAAGCTAGCTTTTTATTTTTTAAAATATCAGAGAATTGTGACAAAAATGGAACTACTGCAATAGTTAGGGCAGTAGTTCTTAACCTGTGAGGTACAACTGGGGATTCAGTACCACAAGCCCCAGACATTCATCAACCAGGAGAATGGCCTCAAAAATTCATGATATTGGCTTAAAGATCATGTGGATTTCTTTAAATAAGCACTAGTTCTATTAATCTGGTTTGTGAGCTTTTAATGTACACACTGGTCACATTGTCAAGCTTTTCTCTACAACCCTCAGACTAGAAATTTATTCTCTTTTTAACTGAATGCTGAGATCCCCAGGGATTTGCCTTCCTCCAGGAGCTGAGGATTTAAGAAAGCTAATCATCATAATAGCTATCAACGGGAGTTTGCAACTACTCTGCCCTTCCCATATTGCTACTATGGGTAGATCCCAGCTAGATGGGAGAGGGAGGGTTTCTGGGGGGGTCATGTTATGGAAAGGGCTGAGAACCACTCATCTAAGACAAAGCCTTGTTACTTGGGTACCTCTCCTTTAGGGTGTGGGTTGTAGCAGTCTCAGCTTCCACATGGAGGGGTTACACCATTACTTAAAAACAAAAAAGGGGGTGACCACAGTTAGAAATGTCTCTATTACTAGTGTTGTTGCTCTTTGAAGGGTGACTGCTAGCTTTTATTTGATGAATTATTCCACTTCTTGCTGGGAGATATAAGAACTACAGTGAATTAAGTCTTGCACTGCTCTGAAGTGCAGTCTTCCTCTAAGACATCCTACACATAATTTGCAGTATTAAGGAGCAAGGGTGTTTGTTGTTTTTCCTGTCTGATGCTCTTCAAAAAGTGTTCATTTTGATGTATTCCTGATGATGATTTCAAATGTTTAAAACCCTTCGCTAAAAACATGCCCATCATTGTCAGATAACATAACATGCTTTTTCTGTTCTCAGAACTGGAAAAAGCCACTTGCCAGTAGCATGTTAGAAACTGTTACTGCAATAATATAGGAAGTTGTATCTTGCACTGTGCTTCAGGAGATCGCATATACACCAGACTTCCTATTTGTGCATATGGAGGTAATTGTGTAATCTAGGTCAGGAAATCTACATAAAGGCCTAGCAGTGAGCCAGCGCAGAGCAAAGGAAATGCTACTATTTATATTAATTCACAATCCAATTGTATTTATATAGAGCAGT